ACCATTGCCCCACCAGCCCCCACACTTGGACCCCACTTCTCCTCTCAGGTTGGGCCCTGGCTCTGAGGATGCTTTGGCGACTGGGAGTCCACTGTGGGATAGAAGTGAGGGTCTGGGTCACTGTGCCAGGGAACCCCGCAGGTCCTTCATCTCTTTTTTGTGCTGGGCCTGGTGGGGAGAGGAGACTGGTGCCCGGCAGTCCCAGATGGACCCCCAAGGCTGACCCTGGGGAGGTGCCACTCAGCCAGGGTGGGGTGGCCACAGTCAAGAGTCAGAGCTGGTGGGGCTGGAGCAATAGCACAGAGGGTAGGGCGTTTGCCTTGCACATGGCCAACCTGGGTTTGATTCCCAGCATCCCATATGGTCCCCCAAGCACTGCCAGGAGTGATTCCTGAGTGCAAAGCTAGGAGTAGCCCCTGAGCATCGCCGGATGTGACCCAAAAAGAAAAAAAAGAAGAGTCAGAGTTGGTACCCTGGTACCCGGCAGCCTCCTGGAGAAAGGTCCTTAATCCACTTTCTTCTCTTATGTCCCAAGGGGTGGGTGGGATGGTGCTTTTGAGGACGGTGTTTGGGGACATCAGGGTGGGGGTACAGCGAGGCTGGGCTCCTCTGGGAGTGGTGTGGGATGAGGGGCTCAGACCTGGCATCCAGGGCCCCATGGGGGCTGACGTCTGGGTTTAAACGTGGTTCTGGCAGCTGGTATTTGGCCACAAATACCAGACCAGCTGGGGCCCTCTGCTCACCCCAGATCCTGCCTCCAGTGAGACGGGAGTCCTGCTGGTCCTCCAGAGGGTCCTTCTCGCCCGCCCCAAATCACCCCAAGTGGCCATCCCTGCCCACTCATCTGTCCTACACTCCCCTACCCCCTACCCCACCATTCTGTGCTCTGCGATGTGTCAGCTCTAGTGAAAGCTGTGCAGGGCGTCCTGTCCCTGAGAACACAGCCTGGACCAGCCTGCAGGCCCACCCCACCTCTCCACTCTTGGGGGTGTGAGTGAGGCCGCCCTCCAGGTGGACAGCAGGAAGTGATAGCGCTGGGGGAGGTGACGTGTCCTGGGCAAAGGCCCTTCAGCGGCTGGGGTGCTGCTGGCCCAGTCAGAGACTTCGGGGTGAGGCCTCATCTCACCTCGAGACAATTGCTAATGATGGTCTTTCAAGGCCAGACCCGGGAAGGGGTGACCTCACCCAGCCACACCCCGCCGAGGAGGCTGCAGTCAGAGGCGGGCGGCTCCCCCATCACCCTGGGGCCTGCTGGGGCTTGCCCGGTCTGAGAAACGAGGGGGCAGTGTGTTTGCACATGCGTGCGTGTGCGTGCCTGCTCATGTGAGTGCGTGTCTGTGTCTCCATGGGCTGGGCTGGCTCGGAGCCCAGTGGGGGAAGCAGGATGTGGGTGGAAGACGCACTGCAGGGGAGCAGGAGGCCAGCTTCCACCCACGACACTCCGCCCTAGTGTGGTACCCCACCTGAGCTGTGCCTCCTTCATCTTCACAGGGTTGGGGGCAGGCAGGACACTTCTGGGTGCCGGGAGGCAGAGGAGGTAATCCCGGAGGGGGTCTGGGAGGAGGTGAGAGGGCTGTGCCAGCTTCAGGCAAGAACAAACAGGGTAAAGGGGTCAATAACACCCCTGCCCACTGCTCTCCAGATCCTTGGGGCACCCAGAGGGGAACTTGGTCGCTTACTCCCTCCAGAGATAATGGCCCAGAGTAGCTTGCTGGATTCTGTTGAGGATTTGAGTGTGGGTCCCACAGAGCGGGACGGAGCAGACCCGATGGGGGAGAAGGGCAGGCCTGAGGGAATCAGGAAGGGTGGCAGGGAGCAGGTTCCAGCAGGGGTGCGCGGCCCACTGGCCTATGAGGCAGTCCCTCTCTTGGTCCAGGCCTGAGCAGGGCCACTCAGGGAAACGTTTGTTTCTTCTGTGGGTCATTATCATGCCCTTCCAGGGACGACTCCACAGCGACAGGCTCCTCTGGTGTCTGGCCTTAGTCATTCTTGCTGTTGCACCTGATTCATTTCTGAGGACACAGCGGGAGCCCCATTATCCTGTCACCCCACCTGACATCACTGAACTGGCCTCAGGCGTGTTCCCACTCCCAGGGCGGCCGGAAACGGTTGCTGGATGAATGTAGAGTGAGCGAGCGAGACCTAGCAAGCGGGTGAATTCTCCTCCCATGAGGATGCTGAGAAAAGGGTGGTGTGTGTGTGTGGGGGGGGGTGTGGGGTGTGTGGTGTGTGTGTGTGTGTGAGGAGTATATGTATGGGGTACGTATGTGGTGTGTGTGGTACATGTGAGTGTGAGGTGTGTGTGGTGGGGTGTCTGTGGGGGGTGGTATAAGTAGGTATGGGGTGTGTGTATGGTGTGTGTAGGGTGTATGTGTGTGGTGTGGTATATGTGGGGGAAGTGTGTGGGGTGTGTGTGGTGTGTGTGTGCTGTGTGTGGTGCATGTGCGGTGCGTGTGTGCTGTGTGCGTGGTATGTGTGGGGTGTGTGTGTGTAGGGTGTGTGTGTGTGTGTGTGGAATATGTGGGCATATGGGGGTATGGGGGTGTGTGTGTGTTGGGGGGGTGTCCCTGTGGCCTGGTCTGAGACGGAGACAGGAGCAGAGACCCAAAGGGAAGCCAAGCCCCAGGAGCGGAGGGTCCACCAGCCTTGCGGGTGTCAGCAGACAGCCTGAAAGAGGCAGTGCCGCCTAGTCAAAGTAGGGCAGACACAGGTGGAATAAGGAGCGTGAGGGAGGAACTGTGAGACCTAGAGCCTGGGAGCTAGCCGGGGCCAGTGACCAGAGAAAGCTTGCCCAGAACAGGGTCAGAGGGTGAGCCCCAGACCCACGCGATGACCCAGAGCCCTTTCCTCACCAGAGGGAAGCAGAAGGGCCTGGTCCTGAGAGGGACAGGGCCGCATACGAGGACACTGAGGGTCAGAGAGCCTTGGCTTGAGGTTGCCCAGGAGGCTCCAGTCCTGCTTGAGGAGCTCAGGAGGCAGCTCCCACCCCCATCCTGTGCTGGGACACACTGGCACCGCCGGGCACTTACACGGCAGTCAAGGGCCCAGCCCCCAGCCCGGCACCCGCGGGTTTCCCCAGCTCTCGCTGAGGACAGCGAGAGGGAACAAAGCCCCAGTCTCTGTCTGCTCGGCACCCCTGCCTGCCCCTGGCACAGACGGGCCCCCGAGGAAGCCCAAGAGGAAAAGCAGCAGCCCCTCCCCCTTGCCAAGTCTGCGAGAACCCCCTCCTCCCGCTCAATCCCAGCGCTGCATGAGTGTCCCCTACTCAGAAGTCAGGGCTGCAGAGCCAGCATGAGAGGCTGGCAGCACACACTGGGGCTCAAACCCGCACCTGGGCCTGCAGGGCTGCCTTCCAGCCCTCCTCCTGCGGGCTTACAGGTGCCATCACAGGTGGAGGTGGGCCAGGAACAGGGTATACAGCTAAGCAGGGGTCTGACAGGTGTGACCCCCCCCTGCCGTCTCACGCATGAATTTTTCCTGTCACTCCCCAGTGCTGTGGCCACCAGCCACCCCCATACCCTCTCCTGGTTCCCTGCCTCCCCCGGGAGTCCGTGCCGGGAAGAGGCACGGAGGGCCGGAGCTCCCCAACTCTGGGCTAGATGACCTGGCTGATGGCTCCCCGTACATCCCCGCCCCAGCCTAGTAAATGAACCATGTACTCATCAGCTCCCTCTAAACCAAAGGCTCCGGGCATTTGCGTGGCTGCCCCGCGTTACCTAGGCAGTGGGTCTCGGGGCAGCCGAGGCACCTGGTGCTGCAGAGCAAAGCAGGGCTCGTGCGGCCCTCACGGGCCAGGCTCCAGTGCTGCCTGAGCACCAGAGGGGTCGAGAGGAACACCACCCCTTCCGCCCCCGGCCCAGTTTCCAGCAGACAGCCTGGCTGGTACTGGGGTTCAGGGGCTCCTTGGCATGTTCCTGGCCGTGAAACTTCTCCAAGCCTCCATCTCCCACCCAAAGGTCGCACAGGCCTAGAGGGGACGCTTAGGCCCCTGCCTGGCAGAGCCGGAAGCACTGTGGCGAAGCTGTACCTGTTTCCCCCAGAGGCCCGGCTCTTGCACCCCATGGTATCTCTGACCAGCCAGGACAAGTGACTGGCAGGCCCCTGCCCCACCTATACCAGCACAGAGCCCCTCCAAGGTAAGCACCACTCATTTTAAAGAAAAAATAATATTTATTTGCAATATAAACAAAGTCCCGTCGCTGTTCGGGATATATATATATATATGTATGTATATATATATATATGTATGTGTATATATATATGTAGGGTCACAAATTTTCCTTCATACGATCATAAAGCAAAACTGGCCACCCTCTAGGCATACCCTCATTTATACAAATCTGAGTCTTTCTGGATTTTTCTTGTTAAAAGTAAAAAAAAAAAATAAGAGAAAGAAAGAAGAAAGAAAGAACGAAAGAAAGAAAAAGAGAACCATGTATAGCATGGAAGCTTTTTGTCAATTTCTCAACTGTGGCAAGATTTTAATCCAACGCCTTAGAGAATCCCTGAAAGCCACCCCTGTGAGGTAAGATGCAGGTGGGGGCAGAGTTTCCGTGGCCTTGCTCGTATGGCGAGTGCTGCACCCCTGGGGACCCAACTGCTCACCCCTCCTGGGCCCCCTGACGTCCCGGCACCTGGGAGAACCGAGGTGGAAGGAGGAACGGAAGTGGAGGGGAGTAACGGATCCGTGGCTTGGTTCTGGGGCTCCCAGGGGCGAGGCGTGGCAGGAGCCTCATACACCTTCACTTGTTACCCCGCCCACCCTGGCCCTGGGATTGAAAATAGGGGCGAGCTTCCTGGGAGCAGAAGGTCTGGGCAACGAGAGCAGGGCAGGCGTCCACAGATGGGGGAGACAGGAGCGACAACTGAACCAAAGCGACAGCCAGAGGGACAGAGGGACTCGCAGGAGACAGGGCCAGGACCCCCGCCCCCCCCCCCCACCGCATCCCCCCCACAGAAAAAGAACAAACAGGACAGAGTAGTGGGTAGTACTGAAAAGGGCCCAGGGCTCAGGCCTCCGAGAGGCTGATCCCGAAGGGCTAATGCTACTGCTTGGCAGTGTCCCGGGACTCCGCTACCACCAGCCCAGACTATGGCAGGGCCAACCTGCTCCTGCCCCAGCAAGACTGCAGACCCGCCAGTTACAACATGCAGCAGTCACTGCAGTGCCAGGCAGGGCATGGCAGGCGCCGGGGGGTGTGGCGGGGGGAGGTCCGAAGCCTACAGAGCAGCAGGCTACCCCATCTGGGGCCCACTGCAGAAACGGAGGCTCCACACATGTGCAAAATGCATTTGGTCAAGATCAACACGGGGTTTGTCTTTTCCATTAAAAAAAAAAAATCAACAACAACAATAATTGCTTTTTGAAATAGAAAAAACTGAGAACACTTCTCTGTCGCACACGCTCTCTCTCGCTTTCTCGCAGGATCAAAAAAGGGATGAAATACTGGTTTTTGTACAATCTGCTGTTGCATGTTGCCTAAAAATAACACTTTTTCGTTAAAAAAGAAAATCAAGAAGAGTTTGGACACTGTCTGTGCTCCAGAGAGCGTGGGTTTACCTGCCAACAGTAAAAAGTAAACTCAGGTCTGTTGATGTCTCTTTAAAAACCGCCAAACTGGTTGGGTCAACAGCAGAAAGGAGTGTTCCGGGATGAGGACTCCCCAAGCCACATGTCCGAGAGCCAAGGGCTCCCCAGGAAGTCCTGCTGATGGAGGCTTTGCCGCGGCCGGCCTCGCAGATGGTGGAGAAGCCCTGTCACCGTGGACTGCACCCCTGGGCCCAGGCAGCATCCACGAGCCCCTGAGGCCGGATGCAGCGGGTGTGGACCTGTCCCCCGAGCCCCCCGAGGGGGCTGGGGAGGGGCTGGCACCCAGCGTCTGTCTCAGGTCCCAGGCCTCACGTGGACTCGAGGGTATTGAGGGGGTACAGGTTGTGGTTGGTGGGCGTGGAGAAATAGAGCTGCTCGCTGGGCGTATGGTTGTCGCACGGGCTGCTCAGCCCCAGCGTCCGCTCGAAGTCCAGCAGCTGCCCCATGAAGTTGAAGTTGGGCGAGATGTTGGACTTTTTCCTCTTGACAAAGTCATAGGCATCATTGAGTGACAGGTTCATCTTCTGCATCAGGTAGGCCACGGTGACAGTCACCGAGCGGCTGATGCCGGCCAGGCAGTGCACCAGCACGCCGCACTTCTTGGAGCGGGCCTCGTCTGAAACACACGGGGAGGGGGGGTCAGGGGGCACCCCAGGAGCTTGGGAAGCCCCCGATGCGTGTACAACTGACCGTGAGAGGGCTCTGCCACACATCCCTCAGTTTCCCTGTTCCTCAAACAGGTGCCCGTATCCCCCCTGCTCTGAGGACTTGACTCTGACAAGTACAACCATGGCAAGTCCTCTGGCTGCTACAACGGGGGACGGGACACCCAGCACCAGGCCTAGGAGCTGACTTAATAGTGGCAAGACAGACACAGTGGCAGGGAGACAAGGTCAAGGCCACAGGAGGGTCCTCCAGTCACAGGACCTGCCACTGCCAACCCAGGCATGGGGGCAGGAGCTGGTTCTGTTACAGCTCCCACAGACCCATCCAGAGAGCTGCGTGGCCAACAGGCCCTAGAGAGGCCCTTCTGCAAGCGACTGGGTGGTCTGCCCTGCCCTTGGCACTGCCCTATGCCTACGTCCCCCAGGCTGCCTGGCGCCTAGGAGGACCAGGGCTAAGCCTCCACAAACAAGCTTTTTTGTGGCCCCACCCAGCCCACTCCACGGACCTTCCCCAGCCAGGCCAACCCTGTCCCGCCATCGCCATCGCTGCCTCTCTCAGCTGCCCCCAGGGCCTCTCTTATGCCTCTGCCTGAGGCACAACTCAGGACACACCACTCAGTCCGACCATCTCTGCTCCCTGGGCCCAGGGCAGCTGCCACTCCCTGTGCCAAAGCTAAAGAGGTCAGCAAAGGGCAGCCCTGGGGCTGGCCCCTCCTGCGTCCGCGGGAACTGCCCTCGGCACACAGTGCTCCTACAGCAGATCCCCAGTGTCAACCGCTCCTCCTGGGGACTTGCAGTCACTTGGCAGACATGTGTGGGCACCCAGACCTAACACCTTGGAGACTGACCCGGGGCCAGGCCAGTGGCGGGGAAGGGCTGCCACTTCCTGTTCCTGTAGCCCTTCCGGGCAGCGTGATCTGACCTTGAGATGGGGTGGGAGCAAGGGGTGGTGGGGACAAGCCCATAGCACACCAGCATCCGGAAAGCCTGGCCCCCAGACCCACTCCTGACAGAGCCAAAGGAAAACCACTGGGACCGAGTTTTATTTTTAGCCTCTTCAGGATGTGGCTGGGGGGGTGGGGGTGGGGGTGGTGCTGGCGCTTGATCCGGGAACACCGGGTCCTGCGAGGAAGCTGGGGCGGCAGCTCCCCCACTTGTCAAATGGGGGAAAGGTTCTTCCCCAACCCTCTGCCCTGTCCGGTCCCTCTCCCCAGAGACAGGGAGGCCTTCCAGGAGAAGAAGGGCCCCGACAAGCAAGGCTTGCCTACGGGGAGTCGCTCCCCCATCCTCTCCCCCACTTCGGCACATGCTGAGGCAGCACCCAGCCCTCCAGGCTGTGTCCCCGTGCTGAGCTGGAAAGCTCTGGAGCCTCCACGGACTGGCCCTCCCCCGGCCTCCGCTTCCTTCCTTCCTCCCAGCCAGGCACCTAGTTTTGGTTCCCAGTAAGCGGATGAGGCGTGAACCTCCCACTTCCTGTTATTAAAGCCGGCCAGGCCCAGCTGAGACTGAAACACCCCCACCCCCCCACCCCAGCCTGCTGGACATGGCCGCCTGTGGGAGAAGGCTGCTCAGGCCACCGTGACAGTCACTGGAGGCCGGCCTAGAAACCCGGGGTCACCAGGGGTTACATTCGTCCTGATCTTGTGTTCTGTACCCTGGATGGCTGTGACCCGCAGCCCCACAGCCTCCCGTGGTGACCGGGGAGGAAGCAGGCTGGGGCAGTCTGAGATAAGGCCATGGGGGAGAGAGGGGAGCCAGAGGGCTCTACACCAGACAGCCAGAGCCTGCACTCTGGGGGAGGCCCTCTCTGGCACCCCCCCACATTCCCTCTCTACCCGGAGACCTCAGGCAAGGCCCCCAGGCCCCCAGGAGCATCTGTGGACACGGCGGGGCACTCTGGGTTGCCCCATTCCAGCAGCTGCCGTGGAGGGGAAAGTAGGCTTTGTGCCAAGGCAACCCTTACACACGCCCCCCCCCCCCCCATGGTGCAACCCAAAACAGTACCGGGGCGCACTTGTGCGGAGGCATGAAGCGGCACATGGGAGGTCCTAGGGAGGTGTTTGTGCATTAAGCCCCAAACACTAGCACCAAGAAGACAAGAGCAGGATAGCAGAGTCCTTGCAGTGCTGCTGGCCAGGAGGGCCAGCTCGGGCCCTCAGGGCTGCGATGACTCACCCATGGGGTACACCCACGGCACACACCGGGACAGGAGGGGACACACACACACACACACACACACACACACACACACACACACACGTATGCATGTGTGCGCGCGCGCGCGCACACACACACACACACACATGCCTCAACAGGCCCAGCAGTGCCTGGCTGGGCCCGGGTGGCACCCAGAGTCCCATACACACCTCTGACGCCTGCCCACCCAGCCTGCTCAGAGCTGGCAACACCTACCGATGAAGCTGATGGCCTCAGGGAAGAACTGGGAGAGGTTCTGGCTCCAGTGGTCGGAGATGGGGATCTGCTTGTAGGTGAACTCGCCACCATGCTCAAAGGCGTTGGGCAGGTTGGGCGTGACGTTAAGGATGTACTTGATGCCGTACTTGCCGAGCACGTCCAGGTTGGTGGAGTCCTTGGCACAGCCGAGGTAGAGGTAGGGTAGGATCTGGACGGGGAACGCCGGCTGGCTGGAGGGCACGGGGCTGCCGTCGGACTCTGTGGCACTGCTGGGCAGCTCGCGGTCTGACTCCCCATCCGAGCAGTCGGAGCTGATGCGGAGGCCCCCCAGGCCCAGCACAGAGGTGGGTGGTGAGCCACTCGGCGAGGACGAGCTGTCCACGTTGGTCTCGCAGTGCTCCGAGTACTCAGTCTGGAACTTGTTAAAACCACCTGCAGCCGGAGTTGGGTGAGAAACTGTGGGTGCCCCTGGCCACTTCCCTAGTCCAAAGGGGCCGTAGGTAAACCAGAAACAGCCAGGGTGCCCCGTCAAGCACAATCCCAGCAACAGCCCACCTGGACCGTGCCTGACGTCTTCGGGAGCTGTTCGTCCCAAGGAGCCTGTGGCCCACTTCACAGATGAGGTAAAGAACCCGGCCTGAGCTCCAAAGCCCACCCAGAATTCTTCAGGGCTTCAGACACACCACCTGCCTTGGGGCTCTGGAGGACGGCCCCGAAACATTGCTCTCTGCAGTGCCCATGAGCACCTGGCACCCGAGGGTGCTCCGTAACTGCTAAGTGGTATAGGAGAGCAGACAACCGCATTTCAGAAGGGTTCTGCAAACCCTTCCTACAGTCGAGGCTGCAGGGGCCAGAGCTGCCGGGGGTAGGGCTGAGACTCTCTGACTGCGCATTCGGGAGGTTTTTTTGGTGGTGCCGAAAATCACACATACAATTGCTCCAGCGCTGAGCACCATGTCAAACCCTTGGGTGCCTACCCCAACCCCAACCAGAGTCAGGGAGTGGCAAGCAGGTCCCACCCTGTCTGTCCCCCAGTGGGAGACAGTAAAGAAATGGGGTCCTAAAGCCACCTCTGCAGAACCTCCACTTAGAACACAAGACCATTCCCAGCGTAGACACACACAGGGGAAGGGCCACCAGGGGTTTCACAGGGACCAGGCGTGGGGAGCACCTTGCAGCTGAACCTCGGCCTGCGCCCGAGGGTGCCGCAGCCCTCTCTCTGCTCCCCTCCCGCCGGCCACTGCCAGGGAGAAGAGGGAGAGGGAGAGGCCATTTTGGAATGTTAATTGGAAACACCGGCTGGGCTGCAGACACTCGCCCCCCAGCGCTGGCTTCTCCCTTCTGCAGGCTCTGGGGCTTCAGGGTGGGTACTTGGGGCTCCCAGAACCAGGACCAGGCCAGAGCTACTGCTTACCACCAAGTCCCAAGCGCCTCCAAAAGCCCGTGATTCCCTAGCGGGGAGACCCCAGCCAGAAAGCGAACCTTCTCCAACCCCAGGGCTCTCTGCCCTGGGGAGGAAGCTGGGGAAAGAGCGCCCCTGGCCTGTCTTGTCTTGGCCTTTCAGGCTGGAAAAACTGGAGCCCGGTACCCTGAAATCTTTCGGGGTACGCTCCCTCCTCTGTGTGTGTGTTGGGGGAGGTGGTCCGCTGAAATCTGGGCGCTGCCACGGCCCCAACAACGGGGGAGAACATAGGAAAGCCCAGTCGGGGAAAAGTTTCTGTGCCCACTGGAGCGTGTGGCCAAGAGAGTCCCGAGGGCACCCGGGGATGGATGCGCCCCCGGTGCGACGTGGCGCCCAGAGCGCGCGGCCGGGCGCAGGGGCTGAGCGCGGCCTCCGCAGGGGGCGCCAGGGGCCGGTGGGAGTTCCAGCCCGGGCGCCAGGGGTCTCGGGGCGAGCCTCACCTTGGAGGTAGTAGGCCTGGCAGCCGTCGTCGCGGAGCTTCTGCAGGAGCAGGCCGAGCACCGAGGCGGGCGCGCCGGGCTCGGGCTGCCACTCGGCGGTGGCCTCGTCGTAGAGCAGCACGGTGGCCGCCTTGCAGCGCGTGGCGAAGCGCTCCTTGTCGGCGTGGTTGGGGATGATGGAGCGGATGGGCAGGTTGCCCTTGCGCAGGCGGCGCAGCATGAGGCCCGGGATGGCCAGGTTGATGGCCGTCTCGATGTGCGACGACTCGAAGAGCTCGTGCGGCCGGCAGTCGAGCAGCAGCAGGGACGCGCCGCCGCGCGCCTCCAGCTCCTCCTGCAGCCACTCGGCGCTCTTGCAGGGCATGGCCCCCGCCGCCGTCGCCGCACCCGCCCCGGGGCCCGCGCCGCCCCCGGGCCCCGCACCGGGCTCCGACCCCGCCGCCGCCGCCGCCCCCGAGGCCGACATGTGCGCCCGCACTGGGGGGCCGCGGAGCTGGTTTTTCATGGGGAGCGCGGGCGGCCCGGGGCCGGGGCCGGGCAGCCCTGCCCTGGGACGGCGCCCCCGGCCGCGACTCCGGGCGCCCGCCTCCCGCCGAGCTGCGCGCCCGCCGCGCCCGCCGCCCCGGCCTCCCCGCCTCCCGGCCTCCCGGCCTCCGTCCCCGCCCGGCCCTCCGCGCGCGCCGCGGCCTGACAGCCCCAATTAAACCGCGGCTCGGGCGGCCGCGCGCCCAGGCAGCCTCCGAGGGGCGGGGCCGCGGGCCGGCGCCCGGGCTTAAAGGCGCCGCGCCGCCGCCGCCGCCCCTCCCCACGGGGGACGCTCGCGCCCTCGCCGCTCGGGCGGCCCCGCGGACCCGAGCCCGGCTCTCCCGCCCGGCCCCAGCGCGGCTGCCGGCCTGCCGTGACCAGGTCTGGCTCTGCCCTGCCTACAGGATCCGGCAGAAACGCGCCCACGCTTCCAGCTTTTCTCTGCCTTACCTGGCAGGGCTGCCCTGGGAGCTGCTCGCACCGCCCCCCCCCCATACTCCCCAAAGCAAGAGTCCCCCTGGGGATGAGGTGGAAGGAGGCCCGGTCACTCTGAGCCCACCTCCTTCCCTCCTGGTTGTCGACCCATTCATTCATTTTGCCAGCTAGTTCATTCAACAAATGCAAACTGGACGCCTACTACGTGCCAGGATTGTGCTTAGGCAGGACACCGTTTCCGGCGAAGGCAACAGTCCCCGTGAGGGCCATCGACTCGGGGGCCTGAGGCAGAAGGGCACTCAAACCTAAGCGACTGGTGGAGCAAGATGGCCTAGCCCCGTGGCACACTCCAGGCCATGCGTGAAGGAACCCTGGAAAGGACCAGCCCAGGGAAGAGAGCGCGAGCCCTTTAAGAAAGCTACATAAGCAGGGTGGTGACAGGCGCCGAATGAAGCGCCACGTGACTTTCCCACTGGGGGCGGGTGGGACGCGAGCGCTCCCTTGTAATCCGCAGACCGTCTTCCCCAACCCACCAATCAGCTTTCGCGGTAGGTGGGCGTGTGCCGTGCTGGCGGGCCAATCGCAATCAAAGGCAACAGTGGGGGCGGGGGGAGGAGTCGCCGCCGGCCCCGCCCCGCGCGGGAAGTGGGCGGGGCCCTGGCGAGGGCGGTGTGTCGGCTCGCGGGCGGCGGCAGTGCGGGGCGGAGGAGGTGAATGGATCCGCAGGTAGCCCGGGAACAAAGCGGCTCGGCGGGAGCGGCGCGCGTGCGCAGCTCCGACCTCCCTTTCCCTCCCCAGCCTGGCTCGTCGGGCCGGCGGAGGGTGCTCACGACCGGGCACCGCCTGGCTGAGTGTCCCCACCTCCCATCCTGCCAGAGGCTAGTAGGCTCTGAGCCACCTGCCCTCCACCTCTAGCTTGGAGGAAGCCAGAGGTCAAGTGGGGCCGATGGGGCTGAGATTTGCCTAAGGGAGGACCTCTGGAACCCAGAGGATTAAGCATTTCGCTGACCTGATGCTTCCGGTGTCCTGGAACAGCCCCCCTACGCTTTGCCTCACTGTACCATGTGAGGGATAGCCTAGTGGAAGGGTTTGGTCATTCTGGGATGCATGGAAGGAGGGCCACACCCCCAAAACGGATCTCTTGGATGGAAGCCTGCAGAGGTGAAAGGAGAAGCACATCTTTGGGCTCTACACAGGGCTGGCTTGGCATTGCTGGGCAGAAAGAACCTCTTCTTTCCTGGTCCTACGGCCTGTGAGGCCCAGACCCAGATTCTGCCCAGCCACCTGCAGAGGTGTCACTGTGACCCAGCCTCCAATTCTCCACCAGGGAAAGTGCTAGAATGGATGGTGCCCAGGCAGGCCTCAGTTCTCCAGCTTTCCAACAGGAGGGCACGTCTCTGAGACCAGGCTAGGTGCTGATTGTGAGGGTTCTCGGGGCCGTCAGAAAGGGCCTGAGCAGACTCTCGGGAGGGGATCTGAGGTCTCACTGAGGCTCATGGGTCCACCAGGCCCTGCCTCATGGGGAGCTTTGGCAACTGAATTTCCCCATCAGGAACTGGCCCATGTCCACTAGTGGAAACACATCTGAAGAAGGGGGTGGGGACTTCCACTGTTCCCCCCACCTGCATGAAATAGAACTTTCCAGACTCGGGGAGGAGGCTCTGCAATCCCTCCCCTTTAACTAGTGAGAGCTTATCTCTTTCTGCCTTATATCTCTCCTCCCTTATCTCTCTCCTCCTTATATCTCTCCTACTTATCTCTCTCCTCCTCTGGACTCCAGAGGGGTGGGGGTGGGGGCTATACCCCTGGGAGGGACCTATGAGGATGTGGAATGGGAAAAATTCCCTTGCAGGTGTGGGAGAATTGGGGGGGGGGGGGCGGGGAGGGGGAATCCTTCATCAGGAATGTGAGGCCAGCTTGGGTGAGTGTGTGCACTGAGGAGGGTGGGTGGAGGCGGAGGGAGGCGAATTAGCTTGGCCCCAGTGGCCCATCACCCAGATTGGAGGAGAGGCCAGAATCTGTGGTGTCTGTGGGAGGCACCTCTACAACAATGACACAACCCATGCAGTGGATCCCAGCAGGGCTTTCCTGAGATGGGGCTCAGAACCCTTGGACTTCAAGGCCCAGAGCAGAAACATGCCCATGGTCGCACCGCAAGAGGCCAGAGGTGCCATCCAGCAACTGCAAACCCCCCTCTGGCAGCACAGAGGCTGGGAGGGGGGTGTCTGGGGCTCAGGCTAGGTCTTGGGATCCAATACATTCCTTCTCTTCAGGAATGTCATCTTTCCAGCCCTTCAGGGTCTAGACCCTCCCTTACCTGCAGCGCCCCCCCCTCACTAGCTGGGTGAGGTGAGGTCCCCCAAACAGGTCTGGAGATGAGCTAGTCTCAGGAAGGGCTCTCTGAGGGCTCTGCCTCTCCCAGACATCATGTGCTCTCAGCCTGGAGCTTGTCTGCCCACACCTGCTGGCTGCCTCTGAGAAGGTCCCAGCACAAGAGATTCTGTACAGACCTGATGTACACAGTCCTTGTGAGCACGGACACACATCCCTCATTCAGGATACATACAACATGGGCACAAACGCACAAAGCCCTTCCTCTCTCTATGTCTGCTCATAGGCTTGTGTGTGTGTGTGTGTGTGTGTGTGTGTAGAGGTACACAGATACATATCTGTACACAGTGCAGAACTAAACAATCTATGTGTGCATACACTTTCACATACACACTCACCCACCCTGTATGCTGTACATGTGCCGCTATTGTTGAAGTGCCCCCAGACAGGTGGGCCCAGAGGGGTTGTTCCACGCGGGGGGTTGTGGGGGGGGGGAATCCACACTTGGTCCTCCCAATCCTCCAGTGTCTGGGCTCACCCTGCCCTGTTGGTGTTGCTGGAACCACAGGGGAGTCAAGTCTGGGTGGAATGGGAGCGTACCCCCTCCTGCCTCCCTCCCAGCAGCACGAGGGGTAAGGAGGAGTGGGGCAGGGGTTGCTGGGCCCTGGGTGACAGCAGTACTGAATAGGAAAGCTATTGCCTGGAATAGATCTGACCCTAGGGAGCCACATGCCCGTTCATCTGCCCCTTCCCCTGCCCAGGTGTGTGGAGCAGAGAGCATGGAAGGATAAGGAACCAGTGGGCAGGCTAGAGAGAGGGTCACAGGTAGATGCCAGGGCCTGGGAGATCTGGGAGATTGTCCAAGGCTGCTTAGAGGGGCTGGAGCTATAGTACAGTGGGGAGGGCGTTTGCCTTGCACGCGGCCAACCTGGGTTCGATTTCCAGCATCCCATATGGTCCCCCAGCACCGCCAGGAGTAATTCCTAAGTGCAGAGCCAGGAATAACCCCAGTGCATCGCCGCGCCGAGTGTGACCCAAAAAAAGCAAAAAAATAAAATAAAATAAAATAAAAACCCAAAACAAAATAAAAACCAGGCTGCTTAGAAAAGGCAAAGGGAGAGCCAGGCTCATCCTCCAGTTCCCGCACAAACATTTCTGAGCACCTGTTCCAGGTCAGGGAGTGCGCTGAGCAGTGACGTAGGACTTGAGAGGGAAATTGAATTCCTCCTGCTCCTGGCTCCCCACCTAGCAGTGACCGGTCTCCCCACACGGACTCCCGTGTGCCCACTCGCTGGAGACTTTGCCTTTCTCGGCCACATCCCCAGCCCGCTGGGGTCAGCCTGTGGAGGATGGAAACCAGAGGAGAGGGCTCCACCACACTGCCAGCCACTGCCCCTGGCAGACGTTACTAATCAATCAGCCCTTTTCTTGCTGAGCCCTTTGCTGGCACCAAGCCCTTCCTAGCGGGCATGATCAGTTGATTGATTATGGGGGGCATATGGGGGAAGATCCTCTTTGCTGATGCTCTAATTCATAGCCAGGTCATTGCTGGTCGCTCTGCTCCCACCCCGGTTCCCTTCGCCCTACTCTCCTTCTATGACCAGACACAGCATCCCTGCCCTCCTTCCACTTGTTCGTCCTGTGCCCCCACCTCTCCAGGCCTAGAAAGCCTGCCATCCGCCCCCAGAGAGCCCACTCCTCCTCTGCTCCCCCCACTACTGGGAGTTTGGCCTGCAGGGTCTGGACTGGGATGGGTGGGGATTGGGACGGCTCACCTCAGGGAGCCCCCAGCATATCACTGGACTCCCATAAGTTTACCAAGGACTCTGGCACCGCCAGGCCTTCCTCACGGTCCCATCTTCCTGCCATCCCAAGCTGTCCCAGGCACAGGCTCCTCTTAAGAGGACACACTGGTCAACCTGGGCAAATGAGCATTTCAAGTTCTGCTGGGGGTTGACTGCAGAGGGATATCAAATTTGGTTTCTGGCCCCACCTCATGGCCACACCCCAGGCTGTTCTCACCCTGTCGCAGCCTTCACCTCCTCAGACCTGCATTCGCCCCAGATTCCCCAATGAGGTGAGCAGAGCAGGACTTGTCTGCCCATTCTACAGATGGGAAAGCTGAGGCCCAGGAAGGGAAATGTCTTGCCCAAGGGCCTGGCTGCAGCCCCAGCCTGTTACTCACTCACCCACTGAGCCCTGGGTGAGTCATGGTAGCTGGGTGATGGGAAGGAAACACATAAACCTGGGAGGTGGGAGGGGCAGCCTGGAAGGAGGCGGAGGTGGTGGCCTGGGGCTCCCCACTTGAGCTCTCTCCCAGAGGCCCCAGGGGCTTAGGGGCAGCCACACGCTGA